GTGAGTGAAGAGCTAATGGTGCGCGGCACCGGCACGCACAGCGCGAGTACCTGACGTGTGCAGAATGTAGAGGTCGTTCAGGAGTCGGCCCTGCTGGTCCTTGCCGCCGAAAATGTACACTTTCGTCCCCACCACGGCGGCTGCGTGCCCCGTCCTCCTTGCCGGGCAGTCGCCCTTCATCCGCAGCTCGCGCCACAATGTCGTGCCTGCACAGAGCAAAAAACATCACTCAACGTTGTGAGCCCAGATCTCCCAATGACGCACAGAACACGCACACGCAGCACACGCAGCACACGCACACGCAACACACGAACCGGTCTCGAATAGGAAGAGATCGTTGGTGCAGATGGTGGGGGACAAGGCGCCGCCGAACATGTAGAGCCGATTGCCGACGGGCGAGAGCGTGTGGCCCCACCGCGGCGCCGGGGCCGACGCCGAACAGTCCAGCCGCGACACCTCACCACTTCCTGTTCACCGCGGCGAATCACATAAAACATAGTATACATAGCATGCACACAGATCAGAAGTCCATTTATCGTACAGCAGCACAGAAAAGTGATGAAAACGGTTAGATGGACCAACGAAGTGAACGAACCTGTGTCGAGAACGTGGGTGGAGTTGGTGGGCAGGCTCGTGTGCGGGTCGACGCCACCGAAGGCGAAGACGTAGGACCCCACGCTCGCCACGCACCCCGACCACCAGGTCGGGTGGGCCGCACGCTGCACGCTCGCAGTGCCGTGCACATACATACCCGCCCACTCCCCACACCCTGCGACCGGGCACCTTCGGCATTAGCCAACCACATTTCAAGATAAAAAATAAAATACAATAAATCGGGGGGGGCGTGCCCACGTCAAAGACGGAGACGCAGATATTAGTCTTGCGGCGGGTGCCGGCCAGGAGGAGCATGCGGCCAGGTCCGGTCAGGACCAGGCTGAGCCCACCCGTGCCCTCCATTTGTTATATGTTGCGTTTCTTTGGCTGAATAAATAATACAGTTTATTCCTGGTTCTGTGGTAGCTGCAATTTGATAAAACCGTTACTAAATGGTTTGTTGGTTTTAGCACCAAATAAAACCGAAAAACTCTTCTGCTGTCTTGCCAAAACTTGTTTTCTGTTTTAGCAGTGCGCATGGCCCGTTTCCTCTTTGTTCTCGTCATCTTTTTGCTTCTTGGGGCAGCAAGCACGGGCCTCCACTCGCGCAAGAACAAGAAGGGAGGGCGCTACCACCCAGGGCAACGAGATGAAGGGGTGTGGCAAGAGGTGTGCCTGCGCACCCAAGCAGGCCAGGCCATAGTGCTGGTAGCAACAGAAATGCGCCTCTGGCCAAGCACAGTGTGGCGGATTACAGAACGAGCAGCACACCAAGACCTGTCAGCGCACCCACGGGGCAACGCCGCAGCATCTGTGCAGGCAAGAAAGCAAATGAAGGTACAAATCAAATCACATCAAAACCAAATCACATTAAGCTCACATAATTAGCTTCACCTCCTCTATGCCCTATGGGCAGAGGACCACAACAGAGAGATCACAAGCTACATTGCAGAGTGTCAGCAAGTGTTTGGGACTGGCTCACCAAGTCACATCTCACATCTACTTCACCACAATCTCAACCTCCACATCCAGCACTCAATCTATGAACATCCAAACAAGTGGGCAAGAGAGGGGGCATTCAAGTACTACAGCCACTTCCTTCAATGGGTGGAAAGCCTCTCCCTGGAGGAGCAGCTCCACCTCAAGTTCTTCAACAAAGTGCAGGTTGACCACTCTTGCCTTGGGTGGCATGACAAGCAAGCCAGCCCACTCACACATGGGACAGCCTTCCATCATCAAATGCACAATGGCAAGACCTACACTGTCAATCTGATGGTGTGCCTCAATCAGAGCCCATTCTTCTTCTACAACATCATCCACAGAGCCTCAAATGGCATCCATTTCACTGAATTCATCCTCAACATTGCCACTCCAACACTCATGCATGACAACATCTTCATCTTCAACAATGTCCAATTCCATGTCAAAGGCACCCCCTCTCTCCTCATCCAAGCATTCCTCAACATCTTAGGCGTTCAGCTGTACTCCCTCCCCCCTTACTCTCCAGAGCTCAATCCAACTGAGCTCATGTTCTCCTTCCTCAAGCAGTGTCTAGAGTACAAGCACAACTTCCAAGATCCAATTCATGCAGCAATTAGCAACTGCCTCAACCAACTGAAGCCCCACCACATCAACAACTTCTATGCACATTGCAATTATTTGTAGGCAATAAAGATTTAATTAATTAATCAATGGTGTCAAGATTGGGTGAAGAGGGCAGTGAGACCACAGGTGATGTTGCTGGGGGAGTAGAAATGTCGTTGAGGTGCCTTGCTTCCTCTGCTACTTCCTCAATGTTGATTTTGACAGTTGGCTCCTCTGGATGGGCATCAAGCCATGCCTTGAGCTTCACTGGGTCCTTCTTAAGCTCTCTTCTGAGCTCCTTCATAGCCTCCCACTTGCCCTCCAAGGCACAGTAGTCCACCATTACACAGCATGAGGCTTCAGCAGCAATGCTTGGCGCTGGCTGCACCATCCATTGAGGTTTGCTTGTGAGGAATTGAATTTTCTCACAAATCACATTGTCAAACCACTCCCTTGTCTTCAGCACCTCTGGCACCTTGAGCAGCGTCCAAGCCTTCTTCTTCTTCACACTTTCCTTCTCCTTCATCTTCTTCTTCTCTTCCTCTTTCTGCTCCCTCACTCTCTTCTTTGATTCCTTCACAGCCTCCTTCAGCTCCAGATGCCCCTTTTCATGCTGCGTTGGGCAGGAGTTGAAGGAGGTGCAGCGCGCCTCCTCAGAGCACATGCTGCGGCATATCTTCCTCCATTGATGGCAGCAGCTGCAGCGTTGTGCCCAATTGCGCGTTTTTTCTTCTGCGGCTCGCCAGCAGGCAAATTGGACGCCAACGAATTCAGATTTGTTGGTGCTGACAATGACAAGGAAGTGCAAGGAGGGCTGGCTTGTTCTGCAATCGCCAGGTTGAGACGCCGCCTGGAGCCAAGGTTGAGGCCAATCTCAGTTGCATCCCTGCATTTGTGCCAAAGTTAATAAAAAAATCAGATCTAGATTTGACGTTTCTTTAATTTGATGGGCAAGTACTCATTCGAGATTGAGAGGATGGATTGGAGGGTTAAAAATCCAGCGGACACAAGTGCATGCTCAAGATCGCCTAAATGGTGGTCCATGAGCCAGCTCATGGCGTCATCGCTGATGGTTGTCGTCATCGTTTTACAGGCGCTCAAAATGAAAAAAACGGTTTTAGAAAAAATAAAACAGTACTGGCCGTTTTTGCTGTCTTTTTCTCCGTTTGCAGCTACCACAGAACCAGGAATATGTTCTTTTCTTTTTGCTATTAGTTTTACTACAAACAGAACAATGGCCGCCCCGCCTCCGCCCCCACCCACCGCTGGCGCTCGCCTCAGCGCGCCCAAGCCCGCTTCTGTTCCCGCCAAGTACTCTTCTTCCCTCCTAACCCCTGGTATTCATATTAGCCTTGACTGTGCCCCCCCCAAACCTGCAGGAAGACGTGGGCCGAGCTGTTCCCCTACCACTGCGCCGGTGCGCACCGGCGATGCTTACAAACTCCCAAAAGGGGGTTTCTGGTTTCTGGCCCACACTGACAGAGCTCTTCACCCTCCCAACACCAAACAAACAGCCCAATTGGGGGACGTGGCTGGGCTCACGCAGCAGATCGATGCCATGCCGGCCAGCACCCGCACCGCCCAGCTCAGCGCCAGGGACGAGGACGGATGGTGCGCCCCTACTCCCCTTTGGCGCCCAACGTTGCTCACACATTCGTGACTCACGAACGCCACACACACACACACACACACGATGTGTAGGACGGCGCTGCACTA